TTGCAACCCTTTATAAAGGGACTCCCCCCCTTAAGGAGTTAAGATTCCTAAGGGTAAAGGCTCTCTCCACGCGCGCAGGGGGGGGTGCAAATCAATTCCCGAATTCAGAGAAGAAAAACCGCGACTTGCGCGCGCGGGCGACCTGCGGACACGAATGTCGTCCAAAAATCCATCTCTCAAGAGATACGGGTAATTTTTGTTTTCTTCCCGAAACGTATATTTTTCCCAGTTAGCAGAAGTGCTCCGGAACAGAAGGCTTCGATCAGAGACCCTGTTGGGGTATTCTGGTGGCCGCGTACCAGAACCCCTCGGGGTCTTCTGATTGGCCTCCGATCAGAACCCCTCCCTGGGTGTTCTGGTGGAGGTCTTCTGTCGCACTTCTGAAACTTTACAACAATTAATGCCCAACGTTCTTATCTTTTAATGCAGCGTTAAATGGACAGTTCATGGACGATTCAATGCCCAACGGACTGATCATTGATGTCCAACGTTCAGGTCCATTAATTCACCATTTACTCACAACAAATCCTCCTATATAATGGCTGGCAGGTGGTTTGCAACAACACACGTTCTTACACGAATTCATACACTCCAAGCACCTTTTGCACCTCAAAAAACACACTGCTAGCATTCTGAAAAATTCATTCTGTGTTCACACTTGTTCTCGTTCGCTGGAACTCTTGTTTGTGTGCTCAAACATTAGTTCATAGTCATCGTATCCTGGGAAACGATTGTTGCAACGCTCCTAGCACCGTGGGAGGCAACAAATACGTTTTAAGGACATCGTGTGTAGCACGAGCTTTGACTAATTCTGCTTCATCTCCTTTCTTGTTTTTCTCTAGTCATTTTATTTAATTAATTTATTTTAATTAATTTTCTTTATTTTCCGAAACACACCCAACATCCAATACTCCATATCCCATTACGGAAAATGACATAGCCTCCTACACATGTTCAAAGTGGGGAGCACATGTAAAAGTAACATAAGGTGCATATTTAGCATTACAGATAATCGGATAATGATAGGAAATGCCATCATCATGAAAAATCAACCAGATGAGCAATAGATACTCCCCCTATGGAGATTCCCGAAATATGTCAGCATATGGATCTGGAAATAGCCAATCAAAGGAGTTCACCTCCTTGCCTTCTTCCACCGATTGAGAAGTGTCATCGGATTGGGAGCCATACCTCTTTCTTAGCGCCCAACCCGGATCCATTTCTGTTGATGTCCACCCGCATGCACCCTCATATACATCTTCATCGGCGGTGGTTACGACGGGACAATCTTCGTAAACTGTGACCACTTCTTGCTGGAAATCAGATGGGTTAGGGTTGAACAGATGTGGGTGTACATCAGAAAGGGGTAGGCGTTTCATGTTGGAATCAGTAGAAGAACCAGAGGAAAGGAGACTTTCATCTATGAAAGGGGTGAATGAATTTGATTCCATACAAAAACAGTAGAAGACAAAAGGTCTAAGCTAGAGAGAGAGAAGGGGAGTCGTTTGAAAGGGGAGATGGGGAGGGTGGAGGGACTTCGATTAATCGGTTGGAGGAAATGGGAGTGCGGGTAAGAGGGGGTAAATGGGGAGGGTATTTGAGACATTTCATCTAACATTTATTTTCATTTAAGGAAGTGAGAACTTTTTGGGACTGCCAAAAAAGGAAAACGGAAACTTCATTGCGGGACGGAGGGAATAGTATTTATACAAATGCATCAAACAACAAAATAAATCATCAAGATAAGATTGAACATTCACTTTGAAATTTTTTCAAACACTTGATGTGTGACACCGCACCCAAATGTACTTGGATTTGAAAGTTGATATGTATTTGAATGTCCTAGCGAATAAAATTCGTGTAATTGATTGACATATTTAATTAATGTGCGATTAATTAAATTATTTATCGAGGCCATGTTAATGAGGATGAGCTACCAAATATTTAGTTGGGTCATCGTGATAATTATAGAAGCCCGGTAAAGCAACAACTAAAGTTGATAAAAATGTTTGGACAACCCAAGTGCTATTCTGGCCCAACCTGTCAAAAATAGCAGGAATAATTGGGAAGGACTGCCTACACCCACTTGGGGTATTTTTACACACCATTTGACCTCAAATAAGTGAGGGGGGGGGACAAGGATGATGACTAGGTGCGTAGGGGGGAGGTGGGAAGTCTCCTTTGAGACAAAAGCCCATGCCTATGTCTCTCACACAATTATTTTGTGTTGATTGAGAAGGCATCTTTCCTCTATCTCCCTTGCACTCTCTCTCGGCCAACCAAGGAAGTAAGGAGTTCAGGGAAAAAGCTCTCACAAACACCATTGTTGGAGGAAGAAGACCCAAGAGGAAAAGAGCTAAGTTTGAGGTAAGAACTCAACTAGTATCTCCCTAACTAGTATTATTTTGTATGATTTTTAAGAAATCATATGGTGGATTAAACCATGAGTTTTACACGTTTAAAAGTGTAGAATAATGTTATAAAGTGGTGGTATTTAACTTAGAAGAGTCGTGGAATCGATAGGAGTTGAAACCGCCGGAAACCGCCAAGTAAAGGAGGCTGTTCGTAGCTGCAGACCACGAAAGCCGCCCACCTTTTGTGAAAGCCACCCGGCTGTCGTCTGCTGCCCAGGATTTTCATCTCCAATCGGTTTAGAACAGGGATTGATCGGAGGGCTTAATAAAGGCAACTATTTCAGCACTTCATAAGGTGAGGATGACTGACTATATTGCTTATAATCCTTGTGTTAATTTCATAAGATTACCTAAGTTAATAAAATGTGATTTTCATGGATTATTAATGATTAATAATGCCAAAATGAAAATATTGTTGTTTATGAATAGAAGATGCATAATGTACAAATTTATGAGTAAATGGTGTATAGTTATGCATTATGAGTATGATGATATGATGATTGTATAAACCATGAATTTTGTGATGAAATATACTTTTATTTCATGTATAGAAGTCATGAATGGATAAAAGTGATATTTTTGATATTGAGATTAAATCATATACGGATTGGGAAATTCATAGGAATGAACCTTATAACTATGAATTAAAGAGCTTGGTGGCTTAAAGATTTATGGATTAGTATTGAATTTACTAGTCGGAAACGTTAGTATGAAAAGTAATAGAACAAATCCTAAGGGCTCGGATTGTGCAAGAGGTACCTTAAGTAGTCTTATGAGATGTCTTAAGGTAGAAATGGGTAAACGCTAAGTTACCGTAGGAGTAGACCTCAGAGGCTACTCATAGTAGAGGAACTCTAGGCATAGAATTTGCTTAGTGAACTAGTATCGTGACTAGAGGAAGCCTCTAGCACGATGAAGAATGACTGGAGGAAGCCTCCAGCATTCATGTAGGACGACTAGAGGAAGCCTCTAGCGTAATGTAGGATGACTAGAGGAAGCCTCTAGCATAACGTAATGTGACTGGAGGAAGCCTCCAGCACAACGTATGTAAGGTGATTAGAGAAAGCCTCTAACACCAAGTGTAGTGACTAGAGTAAGCCTCTAGCACGACAAAACATGACTAGAGGAAGCCTCTAGCATGGTGAACTAATATAGATGGGCGTGGCTTGAAGTCACGGGGAAAGGGTTGAATGTTTTCAAAGTAAACATGGGCCTTCGGGCCGACTAACTGACTTTACATATAAAGTAAGTATATTTTCAAAGAGGGTAACCAAGGGTTATGACCTATAATATAATATCATTCTATTTGAGGGTCTTGAAAATTGAAACATTGATTATACTTAGTATAGTTGTCATAGTACTTGTCAAATGCTTCCAAGTACTGACCTCCCCTTCACGGGGAAGGCCACCTCACAGTTTCAGGTAGAACTTGAAGGTTGCTACCATCGCCCATTGCTCCGGGAAGATCTAAGGAGGGAAGACGGGGTTCATGCTTCCTCCGTATCTGTTTTAAAAATATTTATTTTAAATGCTCATGGATAATATTTTCTTTGAATAATTATTTGGGGGCTTGTATGCCCATGTTAGCCGAAGTGTGGCATAAACACTTGTATTAAATGTTTCCGCTGCTTAATTAAATATTTTACATTGTGATTGTTTATGGATGTACTATTGTGAATGGTATTCAAGACGTCTAGTATAGTATGGATGAGTTGGACTGCGGTTGACTATTCGTACTGTACGGCGGGTTGTTGACGTGTCCGGTAGGTCCGGGGCGTGACATGATGAACATTCAATATTTAGGAAATAATTTAAAAAATCTAGAGTATTACTAATGAAAGAGGGATAAATATTTTAATCAAACTATCACCCCATTTATACTTTAAAACGAAGGAAATTCACTAGAAGTAAATTAAAAATTGTTGATATAAACTAAAAAGGTAGGAAAGGAGAAGAAATAAAAAAGAAGAAAATGAGAAGAAATAAAAATGAAGAAAAGAGAGCAGTGAATCACAATCAAGCAGAAGCAACGAATGAAGCAACTAGGAGCAGCATGCCATCAAAGTTGTATTAAATTTCAAAAATTTGTATATATTGCGCCATACAAGGGTCTGTTTGGATGGAGTGTTGAAGGTGTTTGTAATGGAAATGTTAATAAGGATGTTTTTACTTGGACTGTAATTTTCTGGTCTGGTCTGATTTCTTTGTATTTTTATAACTATTCAAGTCTATTCTGATGTGACCTGGTCTGGTCTGGGACAAATTACAATCCAAGTAAAAACATCTAAGTGTTGACACGGGTCCGGAAGGAAAGATAAATGTAAGTGCAAGATAGGGGTGGATGGGTGTGACGGTAGGGGTGGGCACCAGCCCAATCCAACCCAATTTATTTTAAATCAGTATAAGTATATACGGAGTATTTTTTTTTTTTGATCATCACATACGGAGTATTTTATTATCAGCCCACCCAAAACTTACTAGCGCTCCTCGCGAACCGGCAGAACGAAGAAAATAGAAGAAAGACGGAGAAAGCGAGAAACTGCGAGCTGCGACCCTGCTACGAAGAGCGAACACCAAGCCATCAGCCCCGCTGCGTTCCACCTTCCACGCCGCGCGTCCAGCCGTCCAGGGGCTGCGTTGTCGGCCGTCCTTCCTCTCTGTTCTCTGCCTCCAGCTCTGGCGCAGGACCGCAGGTTAGTTTTTTAGAGTTTACTCTCTCATTTTGTGATTGTTTTGACTTGTATTACTCAGATAGTTTGATTATTAAATGTGTACTCTCTTATTTTGTGTTACACTCCGTTAGTTGGTTAGTTAAAATCTAAAAAATAATCATATTATTTTTAGCAAAGAGTGTTAGGGTTAGTTAGGCGTGGGCATGAAAAACCGTAACAGCTTAACCGTGGTAAATAACCGAAAAACCGATGTATTTTTCGGTGACCGTACCGGATTTTTAAAAACTCGCGGTTCGGTTAACCAACCGCAATGGAAAAGCGGTTCGTGGTATGTTGACGGCTGAAGTTATGTTAACCTCAGTTAACCGGTAGTGAAATTTTGAATAATTATACTATATAATATCTTGTTTCCGGTTCAAAGTCGATGTCACCGGAATGTCTCCCACAGTTATTGCCACAACCGCTCTCCTCGTTGGTCACATTTAAAGAGCTTATTATAATTAAGGATAAAACTCAAAGCTCAAAAAATTGTCAAAATGCGGCTCTTTTAGCCGTTAACCAATTAATGACCAAAATCATAAATAATTATATAATAATAACGGTAATAATTGTGCTTTACCTGCTAGAGAACTAGTGAACTACTCCATTACCTGCTACTCCTGCTAGGTTATTGCATGGGTGACAAGTATTGTTGTATTGAGCCCACCAGTATTACGAGCTTTTGTTCTGGGAAGTATATTTCCCTCTCTTGTTAATTGTTTTATGGTTTATTGGTTAACCGTTAGTGGTTAACCGAATTTATGGTTAACCGATATACGGTTAATCGATATCATGGTACGGATAGCATTATTGAAAATTTAGTAACCGATATCTCGGTTAACTGAAAATTGGTTAACCAAAATCCAGTTAACCAACCGTGCCCACCCCTACGGGTTAGTTCGTTAATTAATCAATTTGATTATTAATTGAAATTTTCAGTGCATAATAAAATAGGGAAAAAATACATTATAAATTTATAAGGTGAAATTCATAAGAATAATTGCTACTTTTAGGGATTCTACAATAATAATCCATACTCAGAGTGTCCAAAAATATAACCCGAACTAGCAATTGTGTTCATAAGAATAAATTTGGGCAAATTCAAATTAATGCTCTTTTAATATTATCAACCCTTACTCGCACTTTTCTCCTCAAGCCTCTTCTAGCTTCTCGGGACAAATTCAAACTAAAACCCGTTCGATATGAACACCGTATCCGCTATATGTAAGAAAAAATTGAAGATTTCAATTGAACTTTGAAACCGAGAATACATATTAGTTTTATGTACAACGACAGTTTTTCTTATTAGTTTTATAATTTTTATATTTTATAGAAGTGTTTTAATTCATACCATTATTGAAAATGTCTTTTAGAATGGAGATTTCAATTAAGTGATGTTTTGATGAATATTTAAAGTGTTGAATAATACTCTCAACGTATTATTATGTATGTCTTTCAATTTTTTTCCTCAGCCCACCCCATTGTAACTTTCTGGATCTGCCTTTGGTGTAAGATATAAACCTACCTTGTTTGGGAGAGCTAAACAATAAAGTGTTAGTAATTGAAGTGTTTTCATGTAAATTGATAAAAATATCCCATGCCTTTTAAATTTAAATATTTAATTAAAATAACTTATTTGCATGCTTCATTATAAAATACCACCGTATTATTGTAATGCTCTATTATAGAATATGCAGTATCACCGTATTATTGTATTCAAAAGTACAGATTGAAAGAGGAAGCATAGTGAATCAACGTCATGACAGAAAAAAATAAAGAAATATACTACGTATATCAGTATATATTACCCCTACACTATACGAAAACATATACTTTTGGCAATATATGCCTATACAAAAACATAACAGAGAATTGAGGGAAGAATTGACGATGAGTCCGAACTAATCTAGAGAAGAGAAACAGGATCGAAAGAAAAACATGAAGTGCAGGAGAGGCCAATGGAGGAATATATTTTTAAACGAAAAGGGTAAAGCTTGTCAAACACTTCATTACACCCCAAAATGGGGCGTTAAAAGTGACAAGTTAAAGTGTTGGGGAGGTTATGCTTAACACCCCCAAACCTTTACTAACACCCCAACTTTTTTTTTTGTAATTTCTCTTCCAAACAAGTGTTAAGGTCAACACTCTTTAACACTTCTATTATTAACACTACTCAACACTCCAACCAAACATGCCCTTAAGGAAAGGACTCAGTCACCACCACATCCATTAGTGTAGACCTATCAGCCAGTCGCTTCCATCGCTCCACTCCCTGTCTCCAAATCCAATCGCTTCAACCCCCATTCATCTATGCCCACTTCTTCTGAACCACTGCCTCGTCACCCTTCTCTTGAGGTTTGGCTAGTTTTTGCATCATAAATATAGCCATATAGGGAGGGTAGGGTAGAAGTCCTTATGGATATTTTGTGAAGGTTGCAACTCATGGACTATTATTTGCATTATAAATAGCATTTAGATTTAATAATTCTGTGAGTTTACATGTGAATAACTTGTGGAGTCAAATTGTCTTATCACACCTAATAGATTTCTATAGTTTATACTTGTAATATTTATTAAACCCATCTTCCTGCAATTATTAGTGACACTGTGAACTAACCCTCTTGTTCAGCAGAATATGCTGATTTCCTTAGCTCAGTAGAGTTTTTTTGAAATAACTACACATTGCAGTTACAATATGAACACCAATTACATTTACATGACTATTTTTTTTCTAGTTCTGGCCTGTTCACTGCACACGATCATATCCATTTTCTTTAATTTCAGTTTTCAGCTTCAATTGGTCATACTCATCTGCTTACTGCACACAAAGCAGGCTGCTGTGTAACAGCATAAACCTGCTCTATTAATTGAAGAACCATTCCAGGTTAAAAATTTGAGTAGGCCTTTAGCAATGGCTGAAGCAAAAGGAATCACTGTTAAAGATGCTGTCCACAAGTTGCAACTTCGTCTTCTGGATGGCATTCAAGATGTGAACAAACTCTTTGCTGCCGGGTCTTTGATGTCATGTAGTGATTACCAAGATGTTGTGACCGAAAGAACAATAGCAAACATGTGTGGTTATCCACTTTGTAGCAACTCTTTGCCATCTAGTAGGCCTCACAAGGGACATTATCGCATTTCGTTGAAGGAACATAAAGTATATGATCTTCGTGAAACCTACATGTACTGCTCAGCAAACTGCGCTGTGAATAGTCGAGCATATGCCTGTAACTTGCCAGAAGAGCGAAGTTCCACTCTTAATCCATCTAAACTTAACGATGTCTTGCGTGCTTTTGAGCAACTTGGTTTGGACTCTGAAGTGGATCTTGGAAGAAAGGGAGATTTAGGATTTTCTGAATTAAAGATTCAGGAGAGAGTAGAATTGATGGGCGGAAAAGTTTCTCTTGAAGAGTGGGCTGGTCCATCCAATGCAATTGAAGGCTATGTTCCGAAATCAGATAAGGCACAAACGAAACACCTTAAAAGAGGTACATCACATCATGATATGAGAACTGATACATCATATAATTTTTTCACAATATTTATCCAAATATGACTATCTATTAATGGATTTGATGTTCGTCAATAGTTGAAGCATCATGTAATGGTATTTCAATCATAGCTTATCTAAGTTCATTTTTAGCTGATCAAGTTCAGCTTTAATTTGATTTGGCAGGATCTGGGTCCAACCCTGGTCAGCTCAATAAGAAGAAAGCTTTGATATTTAACGACATAGACTTCACCAGTTGCATAATCACTGATGATGAGTATAGCATTTCAAAGTTACCAAGTACTTTAGCAGCAGAAAAAGAAAACAATAGCAATGAAGATGATCACATTATCTCATTAGGAAATCAGGTTGGTTGTTTGCAAATTCATAATAATGATGAATCAGATCAGCATGGCCTAAGGAATGGTAGGGTTTTCAAGAGTGAGAAGGATCACATTACTGAGTTATCTACAGATCCTTCCAACAACCTGGCAGGAAATACACTGGATGGTGGAAAAGATGCTTCACCTAAGACAACTACACTAAAATCTTCTCTGAAGCCTTCATGTGCAAAAAAAGATACTCATTCAGTTAGTTGGGCTGACATGAAAACTGATCTTAATGGCAGAAGCAGTCTCACTGACTCAACAACAAGAATGGAAAGGGATGAGAATTTATATCCCCTTGCATCTGCAGAAGCCTGTGCAGCAGCATTGAGTAAAGCAGCAGAAGCTGTTGTGTCGGGCTGTGATGTCTCATCCGCAAGTAAGTTTATACTGGCTCTTAAGTGTGGTTGTTGGGATTTACTGCTGTAAGTTTTTGTGAAAGTAGGATCCTACTCAGTAATGGTGGATTTGGTTGGACTTTGGAGTGGATGAAGTTACATAACTGTTGCTGATCTGATGAAGTTGCTGGATTATGAAAATAGAAATTTAAATTATTGTTAAAGAAAGTTTATGTGAAAAAGGCTAAAATGATTATCTTTATTAAATTGGGCCCTTTCATTATGAACCAATTCAGTGTTAACATTAAATAAATTTGTGTTTGTAAAAAATCCTGGTTTATAAGCTGCTAAAAGGGGCTACCAAATGGTGACTAAATTATACTAATAATGTATCTGTTGAGCCCTGACTCTTCATTAAATTACTTTTTCAAGTATCTGAAGCTGGGATTGTTATATTGCCTCCACCACATGAAAAGAGTGAAGGGGATTGTGTGGAGGATGATGAGGTGCTTGAGGCAGAAGCACATTCACAAACATGGCCAACTAAACCAGGATTACCAAATTATGATCTGTTTGAATCTGAAGAATCTTGCTATGACAGTCCACCAGAGGGGTTTAATTTGTCTGTAAGTTGCCTCTCAAACATTTAGCCCTTGTTTGGTTGGGGAGTTTTTGATGGGAGAGAATGGGAGGGGGATATTTATCTTATTAATGTAAATATATATTTACATTTAGTCATTTAGATGGTCTGAAAGAAAGCGAAGATGAAAATTATATAGAAATACATGATTTGGCTGAACAAATAGTTACTTTCTACTTTGTAGTCTAAGACTAACAAATAGGGATACATTTTAAGAAGTACATATACTTCCCAGTTCCCACGACTCACGTTTCGCTGTTTCGGAAAACTCAGAAGCGTTTCGGAAACTTAGAACTTTAAATTCACGTATCCGGGCTGTTTCCATATTTATGAAGAATTAGCTAATTAATCAGTATTTCAGAACTTTTGGATTTTCAGTTTTTAACTTTTTTGGTGGACTTTTTTATGGGCGTAGGATCTGTTTAAGGAAACTTTTACTGGATTTCATCATAGCAACCTCATTTTAGTGATATTACATAGCACACTACTGCTTAGCGAGAAAATTATTGCATTTTACGTTTTATTTTATACTAATATGTAATACTCCCTCCGTCCCATTGAACTTTGCCAACTTTCCTTTTTTATTTGTCCCATAAACTTTGTCACTTTCCTTTTAAAGTAATAAATTTGTGGTTCAATTTATTTCTCTCTCCGTATAATGTTACCTCAATACACAATTTTTACTTTTCTTATTTCACACACAACTCAAAGTTGGCAATGTCAATGGGACGGAGGTAGTAGTTTTAATATTTGTTGATCTAGACTATTTTTTACATTAGTTATTCAGAAACCTTATATGAAAAAATAGTATACATATTTTTGAAAAAAATGTGTATATACATATTTTTAAACATAAGTATTTATGAATATATTATATATCCTTATAATTTTATATTTACATGCTCCCTCCATGTTTTATCCTTTATTCCTAAGTTTCAGTGCTACATAGGATAAAATAGTACAAAATTATAATCAACTTCCGTAATCCAAAATCTCCCAACTAAACAAGTCTTTACTCTTTAGTTTCTATTTATGTTGGTTAACCTGTATATATTTTCATTAACTTCGTCATAACTACTACGAAGTGATTTCTTCTTATTTGATATCTTATCATGCTATTTGAATCATTTCAGTTATCACCTTTTGCAACAATGTTTATGGCACTATTTGCATGGATATCATCATCATCTTTGGCCTTTATATATGGGCATGAAGAAAGTGTCGCTGAAGAATATTCATTTATTAATGGACGGGAATATCCGCGCAAGATTGTATTAACAGATGGACGCTCACATGAAATTAGACAAACTCTTGCCGGTTGTCTAGCACGGGCCTTGCCAGATGTGGTTGCTGGTCTTGGGCTGCGAATACCGATATCGACCCTAGAAAAAGGAATGGTATTGGTCTTCAAGTCTAGAAATTCTTGAATTATGAGTGTTTATTCTCTGTTCCATTAATATATATATACATATGTATATATACACACACACAGAAATGCTCAGGTCCAGCAGTTCGGACAGGAACCGCCGCCCGAACGCCGCCGTTTGGGGCGGTTCCTGGTGGAATTCTTTGATGCAAATTTTTGAGCATGTTCCTCATCAAGTCTAGTTTATCCACAAAAAAATTCAGCTCAGAATTCGATTGGGAAGGTAGTCAAATAATTTCTTGAAGTTGACTGCATTTTCTATGTATAATTTGGCACAGTTAACTTCAAAAAATTATTTGATTGCCTTCTCGATTGAATTTTGAGCTCACTTTTTTGTAGATAAACTAGACTTGATAGGAGCATGCTCAAAAAATTTCATCAAAAAATTCCACCGGGAACCACCCCAAAAGGCGGCGTTCGGACGGCAGATCCTGTCTATCATGCTGGACAGGATCATCTCTCTCTCTCTCTCTATATATATATATATATATACTATCGTATATGGAAGTTTTCCCACCTCTGGTCCAATTCTCATTAGGCCATTGCACTTTTGGTTTATATCCCCTCATTTCCACTCTGAGTTTTTGCCATTTTTGATCCCCCGACTATTTTGTCATTGTCACTTTTGGTACTCGACTTATTTTCCATTTCCAGTCCTCGACTATTGTGCTAGGGACACTTTTAGTATTATTAAATTGACACTTTAGTCCTTCCACTATGATTTTGACACAACAAGTGAAGGACTAAAAATGTCATTGTTAGAATAGTTGAAGGACCAAAAGTGTCACTTTTATGAAAGTCGGAAGACTAAATATGGAAATCTTCAAAGACGGGTACCAAAAGTGTCAGTAGCGCAATAGTCGAGGACTAAAAGCGGAAAAAATCAAAGTCGAGTACCAAAAGTGTCAATGACATAATAGTCGGACTAAAAGTGGCAAAAACTCTTCCCACTCCTGTTGAACGACTATTGATTTCTTACCACTTTTGGTCTTGCCAATAAACTTTCTTGCCAGATTTTTGTACAATTTCTATTTGATTTTGCACAGATGTACACCAAAAGTGAAATATTGACTCAAGGACCAAAAGTGAGAATAACTTAGTACACGTTGGACCAAAAGTAGATAACTTTCTTTACTCATGTTTCTTCTGATTCATGTGTGAGTAAGATATAGGACTCTATATGGTTATTCTTCTTTGGACTTTGAGTGCTGATATGTTTTATGTACCTGCTTTTGCATATATGTCCAGGATAAATTGATTGACACAATGTCTTTTATGGACCCGTTACCCCCATTCAGAATGAAGCAATGGCAGTTGATTGTTCTTCTTTTTCTTGATGCTCTTTCTGTATCTAAGATTCCCGTGCTTACTTCATTCAAGACAGGGTGGAAGATTCTTCTTCCAAAGGTACACATTTTGAAGTTGTAGTAAGCTGCTCGTTTTTCTGTTAGGGTTGTACTAGGTATATAATCGTATTTTAATTGCATTATAGCTATTCAACTGCATCTCAATGTTTCAAAAGGCATCTTTATTTTCCATAGTTTTTAAGTCGGCAGATGCGGTGACGATCTGCCCGATTTCCACAATCCTGTGGTGACAGCTTAAATAGACCTGGGGGAGTACGCGGCCATGAGAAAAACAAGATTTTTTTCTCACCTTATGTCACCCACTAAACTTGGCCAAATTTGATTTGCTCGTGGAATAAGAATGTACAAATTTTGTGGTTGAGGTTTGTGCACAAGAAAGAAATAATAGTGACCTTAGATTTAATATAGTAAACGGAAAGTGACATTTTTTTTGGTTTAAAAAAAGAAAGAAAAATAGCAAAAAATAGCAAGACATATGGGAGTATAGCGCAGGAGCCACCTTGATCGCTTAGGCGGGAATCACTCCCCTAGGGCCAAAATTGCTTTTTACTTCTCCTTTTTTTTAACTCCAGGGGGCTGGGGGAAGGGATCTGGGGGTCTGGAGTGATCAGAGAAACTCACTCCATTGAGTTTTGAACTCTTATGTGCCTAGCTGATATCGAACTCCAGACCTCTCACTAGACACGGTAATCTCACAACCAGTTGGGATGTAATGCTTAGTTAGTGCTTTTTACCTATGGAAGCTTTATACTTCTATGTGCATAATTTTAATGGAAATTTGGCCCCCCTTCAAAAAATTGACTTTGCAGTTTGTGCTCGTCTTATCCTTTCTTTGGCATTGCACTGTTTAGTGGGGTGGAAATAGGGATGACAACAGGGCGGGATTGAGGTGGGGGTTCACTCCCCCATCCGGGGTCTCATGTCTAAAAAGTTCCCCCACCACGCACCGCCCCTGCCCCATTGTCCCCCGTGGGTGTCCACGGGATGTCCATATAGATTTTATTTATCTTATATGCATATTCTTCAATCCATTATATATATATATATATAGTGGTGTTTCTGTCACGACAATTTGGCTAGAACCGCCGTCCAGCCGCTCCATTTGAGGTGCTTCCACGTGGAGGTATTTAATGAAATTTTGTGAGCAAGTTCTTCATGAAAGGTAGATTATGTCCACAAAATTTCAGTTTAAAATTTAAACAAGAAGTTTGTTAAGTAAATTATTGGAAAACATTGCGCCAAGAAATTTATAGAAAAGTGCAGTGTTTTTCAATAATTTATTTAACTGACTTTCCTGATTGAGTTTTATGCTAAAAATTTGTGGACGTAATAAACATTTCATGAATACATGCTCAAATGGAGGCGGCTTTACATCGGTTTCGGTCAGGCAGGACTGACATGAGCATTCATCTATATATTAAGGCGACATTGACACATAATTCTTATTTCAACTCATTTTACAAAAATAATCTCTAATGAAAAAATTCAGAATAATAATCCTAACTAATTATCTGTTTCACAAAAATAAATTGAGAGTTAACGGTGTTAACTCTTCCATTTAATTTTTTTGCCTTTGAAAATCATCATCATTACCCCAATGCCGCAAAGTTCCCACACCTTGGGTGGGGTTAGGGGGGTCGGATGTACGCAGTCATACCTCTGTACTAAAACATATAGAAACTGTTTCCGGATGACCCATAGTAAAAATCGCATCGAGAATTGCATGGACCAACGGTTGCTTCATAACAAAGAAACGCACACAGCTCATTAAGCCAAATTGCCTTTGAATGTAATGAAACGAACATGTAAGTTGAGATTTTATTGTAGTGAACATTTTCAGTAGGGATTTTATTCATAAAATGCGTAAAAAAAGGATTATTGGTATCAATTTTGCCATCTCGCACTGCCCCCACCACATTGTTCCCCGTGGGGTTCCCATATATATATATATATATATATATATATATATATATATATATATATATATATATATATGTATATGTATATATATATCATTAATATATCTGTGTGTGTGTGTATACATACAGAATTATTCCCCTGTTCGGAATGTCCTGACCGGAGCCCCGTCCGGCCTCCGCCATTTTGGGTTGTTCTCGGTGGTATTTTTTGCTAAATTTTTTTATGTATGTTCTTCATCAAGTCTAGTTTATCTACACCAAATTTCAGCTAAAATTCAATCTGTCAAATGATTTTTGGAAAGATAACTGTGTTTTATATGTATATTTCGGCGCAGTTATCTTCCAAAAATCATTTGACTCCCTTCCCGATTGAATTTTTAGCTGAAGTTGGTGTGAATAAACTAGTCTTAATGAAATACATACACAAAAAATTTCAGCAAAAAATACTACCGGGAACCGCCCCAAACGGCGGAGGCCAGCCGGGACTCCAGTCAGGAAATTCCTGATCGAAAGATCACTCTCTCTATATATATCATTAGCACTTAAAGAGCTAAACTAGTGGTAAAAATTAATACTGACAATTTCAGTAATTCTTTAATTTGAATATGATTTGTGAATATAATAAAAGTAAACATATTATCATAATATATATTATTACAATTTTATCATCATATACGAAGTAATATATTAATTCTTAATGATGTACGCATACATGTCTTGTGTGTGTTATCTTACATAGTTGTATAGGTTTATATGTCGTTCATAGCAACCGTTGGCTATTTGGGTTATATTCACATGGGGGTCATAATGTCATATTCGTAATTTCCCTAAATTAAATGAGTCTTTTTTGCAATTAATCTTGAATAAATATAAAATTGCCACCTTGTCAATAATAGTATAATACCCATTGATTGTAAAAGTGAATGATGAATATATATATAGTTTGGATCAAATAAAAAAAGTCTTGACACGTAAAATAAGAATTAATCTAAATCCTTAAAAATTGACAATCTGATGCACAATAACCTGATCTAATGCACTTTTTGAAAAGTGCATCAGATAAGGCTTCTTTGAAAGTGCATTCGATAGGGTTATTGTGCACCACATTGACAATTTGGACGACTGAGTTTAATTCTTATTTTACACATGAAGACTCCTTTTTATTTGAACCCTCCCCTCAGGTAAGGGTTCAAATACAAACACCTTCTAATTTACAAATTACAAACTCACCTTGGCCATCCGATGAGTTGATCTAAATGTTATAGACACAATGTCATTTTGGTAATAAAATCAAACTTTTTTCAAATGAAGCACTTTGAATGTTAATATGTAATACAAATAGCGTAAAGATGCATCTTACAAACACACACACACACTTACACTTGGTATGTTCTTCATATATGTTTGTATATTTATAGCGCGGGCGGGGCGAGCATAGCGTTTCCCATCACCGCCCCGCATTCCAGCAGGCTGGGAACATCTCCCCCCCCCCCCCCCCGCCCCCGCCCCCGCCCCGCCATCATTGCCATCCTTAGGTGGAAAGTAAAATATTAGGGTAAACGTATGGTGTCAAGTACTGGGTTTTGCTGTTAGAGTTAGCGTCCCATGACCGATGTTTACCTTCCTTAGTTTTTGACATTGCACCCCATGATGCAAAATCAAATAAGTCAAACATTTGAGCTAAACACGAGGTTCAAGCACTAAATTTTCCTTGAATTTATTTTTACACTTGAAAGAAATGTTATTTATTTGTTTCTTAGCTTGAGGTTTTGCGTCATGATCTGCTATGTCACAAATAGGTACTAGATGACGCTGGTGTAAGTGGTGAAGAGTACGAGATCATGAAGGATCACATTATACCTTTAGGCCGAGTGCCTCAATTCACTATGCAAAGTGGAACGTAGTGCATTACGACGGGAATCCATCACATTCCATCTCACCCAAAGATAGTTTCTGATGGCGATTCTAAAAGAGGAATCTTAGAGACATAGACATGTCTCTTGGGCTTTGGACTGAAATGTATAGGCTTTTTTTATATATAGGAATTACTTTATGTTTGTATATTGTTTGTACCGCAATTTGGATGATGGAGAGTTGCCTTGTGGCATGATTAAGTAGACCTTGGCTCCAACTCTCCAAGTCATTGTGTTGAACCAAAAATTTGTTCCAAAAGTATTGTGTTCAATAATTGTGATTCTTTGGCATTAAAAAAATTCTGGAAAGAGGATCATCGAGTTATTATCATACTCAACCCCTGTAGCCTGTAGGTAGTGGTGGACTCGGGTCGGGCCACCCGGCCCATGAACCGGCCCAGTCTGCTACTGTGCGGGCCCGGGACCGGCCCGGGTACTGGGCTTTGACCCGGCCCGAGGGGGAGACGGTTCCGGGCACGGTTCCTTCAAAATGAGACCCGGCCCGGCCGGGCCCGGTTCGGGCCAAAATCAATTTTTTTGTTTTTTCATTTTTTTTTAATTCCAACGGGTTGGGCTGGATGTTTTTTTGGGGGGGAGGGGGTTGGGGGGGTGAGGGAGGGGGGGGGGGTCGGGGGTTAATTAGAAAAAGCAAAAAAAAAACATATAAAGAGGCCCGAGGCCCGGCTTGGCCCGGACGCGGTGGATACCCGGGCCGGTCCTGGGCTCACCTATTTAGAACCGGCGGCCCGCCCGGGCCTAGGCCCGCCCGGGCCTAGGCCCGGCTCGGACCCAACCCGGTCCGAATCCAGTCCTGCCTGTAGGAATCAATAATTCAATATGTTATCATCAAGTACGGATTTGTTTGTATATTTCTAATTCCCACCCACCACTACGGAAGAGTTTCTAGGGGTTGGTTTGATCGAGGCATCGAGCCGAACATAATTGAACCATAAGCAATTTGGTGCTAGTGTAGATCAAACAAGAATATTATGGTTGAATCATAATGACTAAATTTTAGTCACTAAAACACTCCGCAAATCTAAAATATAGAGCAGAGCCAAATAAAGTTCGGTAAGTTGGATTTAATTTGGTTCATTTGCATGATATTCCGTATGTTTTAACTCAAACTAGATTCTCACCCGCGCGATGCGCGGGATATTAAAATGTAATAGCGATACGACATTATTTGTAAATGTTATTTGGTTGAGTGAAATGAAAGCAAATTGTCATACACTTAACACGTATACTAAATTATGATTAAAGATCAAATAACGAAGACTCAGAGATAAGTAGTAAGTATGTTTTGGAATAAGCAGGAAAAAGTAAACGTTAACAGGATTTCACAAACTACACATTACGAAAAACTTCCTTATAAACTACATTGGTGGAATGGTTAGTTGATTGACCATCTTCATCGCAAATTAATATCTTCAGACCCTTAGGATTTGTTACCCTTGACACTGCAACATACAACTGACCATGCATGAAGACCGACTTTTTCAATAAAAGTCCAACATGAGACAAAGATTGTCCCTGAATTTTATTTATAGTCATCGCATAAGAGGTCATGACCGGAAATTGTCTTCTCTGAAACTTGAACGGTATTCTTGAATCCGAAGGAGTTAAGCTTAACCTCGGAATGACAACTTCATGCCCGACATATTTTCCGCCCATAATTTTTGCCCCTAAGATATGATTTCCAAGTCTTGTAACAATTAACCTTGTTCCATTGCAAAGCCCCATGGAAGGATCAATACTCCTTAAAAGCATTACTGGAGTACCAACCTTTAAGGTTAACTCATGGTTTGGAACTCCGGATGCACGTATTTTGTTTAGAAACTTTGGAGTATGCAAATCAGCCAGAAAATCGGCATTCGAGTCTAACTTGCAAATGCTATCTGAACTTAGATATGTCCTTGACTCTTCATTAACATTCATAGAAGTCATGTATTCATTAATTGCATCGACAACATCAAGGGTTGGAGCTAAAATTGCACGCTCTTGCAAGTAAGTCGGGTCATTCACAATCTTCTCAAAGTTTGGGTAGGTGCTTTGGACAATAGTGGCAATGAGGTCGCTTCCACCAGGGCCGGCCCAGGGCATGGCTGCCCAGTGCGACCGCACAGGGCCCAGATTTTTGAAGGCCCCAAAAAAAAATTAGTATTACGCCCCAACCCAAAATTCCCCTGCGTAAATCTAAATATGCTTGAAGAATGTCCCTTTTTAAATAAATTGTAAGTTATTAATGACTATTTTTATCATTACATTTATTCGCAGGTTGTATTTTAAGACAATTTGTTTGTGTTGCAACTTGAAAAAAGGCCCAAATTTTATTGTCGCACAGGGTCTACATTTCTTCGGGACCGGCCCTGGCTTCCACACTCTAGCAAAAACTCGTTTGGAATCTGAACATTTGCATAACCATCATTATCTTCCCCAGCAATCCCGTCCCCTAAACTCGCAATCCACTTAGCAAACTCAACCAAATCTTCATACTCACGATCATCAGTCAATGATTGCAACCTCATATTTTGTGTCAAACGTAATACCAAGCACTCATGCCAAATATACGAAGAATTAATCGTGGCATTCACAATGTGTTGTCTAGTACCTTTAGTAACGACATGTAAAATTTGTCCGAAGTCTCCCCCGAAGACCACTGTTTTCCCTCCAAAGGTTTTTCAGCACTATTTGAATTAGTAAATCTCAAGATGTCCCGTAAACTTCTATCTAAGGCTTCGAAGCAATACTTGTGCATCATCGACGCTTCATCCCATATGATCAGCTTGCATCGAATTATCAATTGAGCCAGTGGACTACCTTGTTTGATGTTGCATGTGGAGTTTTCATTCGGGTTGATTGGTATTGCAAAGCGTGAATGCGCCGTCCTACCACCCGGTAACAACAAAGCTGCTATGCCGCTCGAAGCAACATTTAAAACAATTTCTCCTTTGGACCTCAATGCAGCCGACAACGTCTTCCACACAAATGTTTCCCTGTACCTCCATAACCATATACAAAGAACACCCCACCATTATTTTGTTCAACAGATTGCATAATGGTTGTGTACACTTGACGTTGTTCATCATTGAGACTTTACATGCATCTGTCGTGCTCTTCACGCAAGGCAGCACGATCGTACTGTAACTCGTCAAAAATAAGCCTGTTCTGATACATGGTAGCATCACTTATCGTTGGAAATGGCATCGATGGATAGTCCTTTAAAGTCCTACCAATTCTCCTTAACATCATTTCTATTTCAGTCAATGCATAATTCTTAATCTCAGTCTCGGTCAACTTCAAATCTGATATTACATGCATCAAAACAGTAATATCAAATAACATGTGTAATATATTATGTATGGTTTTGAATATGAATACATATATATATACTAATATACATGTTTGTTTGCAAAGATATATGTATGTGTAATATATGAACTGTTTAGTACCTGATGCATTAAGGCTCTTCTTTGCCTGTGTAGAATGTCATCTCACATAAATGTCCAACAACTTTCTGAGTAACCATGCAGTAGCCCAATAACTACCTTTCGAGAATCCTTCAACGTACTCCTTGTCATCGTCCAACAACCCTAACGCGAAACACACATCACGGTATGTATTATGAGTAATTCCATCCACAGTTCTAAGATCATCATAGCTTGTAGCCCCACGCCTCAAATTAAGGACATATCGCAAATAATAAGCTTCTCCTGATCCCGGAGGCACATACATTAGACAACCTATTGCAAACCCTTGCTTCCGAGGTTGCCATTCTCTTGTTTTGGCTTTCCAGACAAACTTTTGAGGGAATTCAGCATAAGTTAAATCCCTTGCCTCGGGGTATCGGCATTTGCTCTCATCCATGCAAGAAACATACTCTCCTTAACAGATTCTCGCAACACAACTTCACTTACTGTTGCACCATCTTCAAAATAAACATACTGCTCATTGCGGAAGTGAAAGCTCAAACGCTCAACACTTGGATTTTATACTGAATTCCGAATCCAAAAATTCTCCACATTGCCTCGCATGGAGAAATATACCGAATCATAGTACATTTTTATTTCATCAACGGGTTTCTCAGTGTCATCTTTATATGTTGTTTCATAAAATCCTGCTGTGACACGATCATTTCCTTTGTTCACGTATTTGAACAATTATTTTATTGACCTCGATTGATCACCACTCCACATTAAGATGAGCACCGTACCTCATCAATAATGTTCTGTTGTGGGGCACAACATATCTATTGTCAAGTGGTGTTTTTCCTTTGACAATTGTTCTTCCATCATTCCGCCTCCTATATTTAGGATAACCTTCTTCATCAACGTTAATTTGCTCGTTGAAGTTCTTTGGGAAGTGCTTTGAACATTTGGACTGAACCATGCAAGGGCGTTCCTTGCATCACTGCCACATGGTCCGTGCACCATATGTGTGCATACAACTTTAAAATAATCAGGATCAGCCCCCTCATCAGGTATTTTAGCTGAAATTATGCGGTCAATGTCTGCTGGGGTCGGGAATTTGTCTGCATTCCACATGAACAATAGAATATGAGCATGCGGTAGCCCACGCTTTTGGAATTCAATCGTGTAAATCACTACGAGGAGTCAACATAACAATTATTATTATATTACACACACAAAAAAACATATATATCTGTGTATTTATAAAAAGCTACATACATGATATTTGATATACCCGCTCGAATTTGTCCGAATACCTTACTTTGTCTTACGTATTTGATCAGGTCATTCAACTTCATCTTAAACACTAGACAAATTATATCTGGACGATCTTCGGGATTCAAATTCCTTGAAGAAAGGAATTTATTAATTTCAGGCCATCTTGGGTTACACGTGAAAGTCAAAAACAGATCTGGGTACCCTGCCCACCGACATATACTCATGGCATCCTGATAATTTTGAACCATGTATCGAGCGCCCCCAACGAATGTCGGTGGAAGGACAACTCGCTTACCCTGTGTTGACGCATCCCTCTCACCTCTTAGCAAAGCATCTGATAGGCCTTTGTACATTTCACACTGCAGTTCTTTTTGATGGGTTCTAATATACATCAGCTTTGATGACTCAACCATTGTGTATCCATCAACTGTGAATTGTTGGAATAGTCTCCTACTCTTAAAGATGAAAGAGTCATCGTTTGCTCGTTCATGCAATTTGTAAGCAAGAAACTCTCTAATGCTAACACTCCGTCGACCACACGAGTTTGACGATTTCTCATCAGAAAAAGCTATATCCTCCCTGTACCCATCCTTGCCATATGGAAACAAAAGCGGATATTGCAATCCCAAATATGCTGGATTTAACTCATTTATTCTTTTCAAATACCCTCATTGAGTTTCAACCATGATATCTCTTTGCCCAAGTGATTCATCAAAATCACCCACCACCAACGCTGCGACCTCATAAACTGTGGGTAAATTATAAGTTCTGGCATCCTTGGTTCTCCTCCCTATTAACTTCAGAGAAACTTTTTTTTCCCCACCCTCAACTACTTTATCCCTGACCATCCTAAAGGACTTAACTAAAACATTATGTTGGTCTAACATTTTCCTTAATGTAGTCACAATATGCGCATGCAAATTGTTCTTCTTTTCATCATCCCTAAAATGATATAACCAAATAACATAAAAAAATACCATATATTCATAGCTAGCAACATGTGTGCATGATTACATATATTTATGAGTTTCAAGGTAAATACATTTACCTCACTGAGCTCAAACGATTAATATCTTCATGTTGGGTGTCATATATATACAATTGTGCAAATTTTGGCACACTTCCTTCCTGGGGCAACAAACTCCCAATGAGGTGATAATTTTGTCCACTCAGTTTAAAGATTGGTGGTGATCCACCCTTGTTCAGTGTTCTATCTGTCCTTCCTCCCATGGAAGTGAACGAAAACATGTTGTTGTACGAAGGAATGTTTTCCTGGAAATGCCTAGCAAGTGCATTCGTCCCATGAATGAACTGTTGTAGTTCCAAAGGCGGCTCCTTTAATTTTGGTAGTTTAATTTTCCCTTGACTGCAACACAACGAATACTTCGGGTCCTTTTTTGAGGAAGTACTAACAATTCTTTCTTCATACCAAAACAATGCCTCGCAAGACGCACAACTGTGTGACGGGTCACCTGTGCTCCAATATTCCGCATTGATCGTGTCTGTGACGAATTTAAAAAACATAAGATTTGACATCGTAACAATCCAATTTAAACGCGGTCTTATGCAAGTTAGAATATGGTTTCATTTGGGATAACAAACATGATCAGACCTTCAACCTCGTGCTCTTGGTGGGGCAAAACATCATCTTCTTGTCTTGATGCTTCTTGATGCTCATGATGAATAGCCCAAGATTCAGATATATGATTTACAACTAATGATCCCTCACTTGGAAACCCATTAAATGGCAAAGAACGAACTACATTTCAAAATTAGGTATAATGTCATAGGACCATAAATTCAAACTAATAAAATCATATATAGCCACTATAAAATAATAATTATATAACGTAATAACATTTACCGCCTATTTTGGCACGCTGCGGTAAAAGTTTCGTGTGATTTGGGTCACTATTTTCTACCCAAGATAAAACACATAGACAACATATTCAAATTCATTATATATTTAAACCATATTAAATAAAAATTCCTTAATAACAAAAGAATTGTAAAAATTAAATTTCTTTATACCATAAAAATTTTAAAAAAAATCATACTTATAAGATTTATAATGAATAGTATTTATAATATTTATAATTTATAGCATTTATAAGGGAAAATGGAAACTAATAATCCAACCTTTAGCGGTCTTCTTTTAATAATCTCACCTTTTCGTTATTCATGAATAAACCAACCTTTGCATCTCATCTTCATTCACTGGTCCCCGACCGGTTGATGACCTGGTATTCGAGGTTATTTTCTTGGAATGAAGATGAGGTGCAAATGTTATAAGTTCCAAGTTATTTATAAGGTTTATAAGAATTTATAATATTTATAATAATATATAATAACACAAAAGGCTCAAATGTAAATAAAATCAGCCCAAGCCACCTATAAAAAATTCCAGCCCAAAAGAACCTACACATAACCTATTAAAAAAACCTACCCCATGGACATGTTTTCGGCCCAATAGAAACAAAACCCAGCCCAATCGCACTATTAATGCAACCTAACCACAAACCCTAACCCGCCCTATATAATAACCATTACCCACAGGATAAAGGCTTTATCCTTCGGCCATTCTCTCAGACCTCGGCCACAATCTGATACTCTACACTCTTCGTATTTCATACCCAGCTCACCGCAATACCACCTCTTCTGCTTGAACTCTAGGACGAACGATGTGTACATCGAATGAGCAAATGCCTTCCAGCGTTCTTACAGTCCTTGATTACGACGGTGAAGTCTTATTTGACCAACCCTACGGCTAAGAACTCTGAGTAACAATCTAAACTTCTCAGATCTGTTTCATTTTTTCGTCGTAATGGTATTTCCCCGACTTTTTATGTTTTTTTTGTTCCTCTCTATCCAACGATGGCTGAGTGATGATAAATGATCTCAGAAGTCGTAGTGTTTTATAAGTTATACTTGTATGCGATGTATATAGATCTCAGATCTGATATTATATAGTTTATTTGGCTTGCATCTCAGCGGTATGATGTTGTAATGCCAAATCTAAAATATAGAGCAGAGCCAAATAAAGTTCGGTAAGTTGGATTTAATTTGGTTCATTTGCATGATATTCCGTATGTTTTAACTCAAATTGCACCTGAAAGACCGAAACACTAATTTCTTGTTGAGTTGCTTACACAGTTGCATATTGCATATTGCTAGTTTTACACTTGCTATTTTCCTGGTTTCAGATTATCGACGTATCAAACATTGTGTCACAAGCTGTTATGTAAGGTGAACTAGTATTTTTACCCGTGCCGGTGCACGGGGTAAAATATGTTATGTATTAATATTATTAGTTATATTATAAAACGTAGAGAAAAATATTTGCAGATGAAAGTGTCGCTTCATAGTATCTAAAGAGAATGGACAATTAAATACATAACTTTTGATTTCGCGTGCTAATTGTGTAATAATAAGAAAAAATAAGGTTGGTGTTATTTTTCTGCCTGCATTGGCTGAAGTTACTGTCGATAATCATTTTAGCTACGAGTATTTTTTCATATCATTTTTCCTTTATTTTATTGATAAAAAATATTTTAAATATATTTTTCATAAATCAGTAGAACAGCAAATGTGGAAAATAATACCAGGCTTAACCTTAATGGCAGCCCTGGCAGATATATTTATAATAGAAAGAGTTCAATATTACAATATGAGTCCCACAATAATAAATAATAATAAATCTACTCTATTACACCCCCTCAAGCTGTGCAGGGGAAACAATGCGCAGGTTGTCACGAAGAAGAGTAAAACGTTGTGGCGACAAAAACTTAGTAAAAATATCTGCCAGCTGAGCCTGTGTGGGAACATACTTAACCCGAAGATCACCATGAGCAACGCGTTCACGAACAAAGTGGTAGTCAATATTAATGTGCTTACTCCTGGCATGTTGGATGGGATTAACAGACAAATAGGAAGCAGATACATTATCACAGTATAGAGTAGTCGGAACACGAACAGGAAATCCCAATTCGAACAGCACTGAGCGTATGTGAAGAGTATCCTGCACTGTGTAAGCTATGGCTCTATATTCAGCTTCTGTGGAAGAGCGGGAGACAGTGGGCTGCTTCTTTGACCGCCAGGAAATAAGATTGGGCCCCAGAAAAATCGCATAACCGGAAGTAGATCTACCTGTGTCAGGACATCCGGCCCAGTCAGCATCAGAATAGGCAATGACCTCTGTAGAGCCGCGCGAAGATTGTAAGAGGAGACCATGAGTGGATGTTCTCTGGAGATACCTGAAAACACGCTTAACAGCCAACATATGTGAAGTGCGTGGTGCATGCATAAACTGAGAAACCAGGTGTACAGCAAAAGTAATATCTGGTCGAGTCAAAGTCAAGTACTGTAATGCACCTACCATACTTCTGTACTCTGTGGCATCAGCCAGGAGCTCGCCATCAGTAAGGGAAAGTTTAGTACGACTAGGAAGAGGTGAACGGACCGGTTTTAAAGTATGTAGATGAAAGCGATGAAGGAGATCAGATATATATTTTTGCTGAGAAAGAAACAGACCGAAGGGAGTACGAGAAGCCTGAATGCCAAGGAAAAAATGTAAATCACCCAAGTCCTTCATGGAAAAGCATTTATTCAATAGAGATAAAAAATGATTAACTAGTTTAAGAGAATTACCTGTAACAATGATATCATCAACATAGAGTAGCAGGTAAATAAAATCGGAATTACGCCGAAAAATAAACAAAGAATTATCAGACCGGCTGCAAGTAAATCCATGAGAGAGAAGAAAACTACTAAAACGGTGAAACCAAGCACGAGGGGCTTGTTTAAGACCATAAATGGCTTTACGAAGCCGACACAGATGGTGGGGAAACTGAGGATGAACAAAACCTGGAGGCTGACACATATATGTTGGATTATTTCCAATTAATATGGCCTTAGGACCAATAATAATGTGTCCTATATTTATGTAATATATATATAATTATGTATTATATATATGTATTATTTGATGGAAATAATACTTAAAGGGTACCATTGTGGTAACACCCTTTAGGACAATATGAAGAGTTGTGACTATTGACTTATTCCCATTATAAATATTCTTTGCTCTCCTTTGTTGAAACACACGTACAAACACAACAACACCATAAAGTGGAGAGAGCATCACAACTTCTAAAAGTACTCCATCTATCATTGTCCTAAAAGGGATAACCAATTCATTTGCTACAAGTAAAACAATGACTTCTTCATCAACCAATCATGGTCTAGCAAAGATTGGCTTCCCATCATGTAAGTATTTCTTTACGAACTTGTATATGATATAGTTTCTAACATGTAGTGTGATGTGTAGATCTTGGATCTAATATATTAAAATAATCAACATGTGGTATCAGAGCATTCATATAACATCACACTCTGTTCATTACGTAGTACGTAATATCATACGTATCATATCATATACGTACATATATAAACTGTTTGTTTGTATGTATGAATTGAAGATCATTTTTTTTTTAATATGGAATTGTGAATTAACTTTTGGCATGACCGTATGACACCTATTCCATGATAATCATTCATAATGTAATCATGATAAAATATCATCATCATCATGTTCTAAAAAAAAATGAAAACCATCATCCTTGGAAATATGGAGAAACTTGCAGAAGACTTTTTCTTCTTGTATAGTTACGTTTAACCGCCGGCAGTTGTTTTAATTTGTTTTTGCCGCCCATCATTGGCCGGCGGGTTTGTGTTATTGGCCAACGGATTATGACGGCAGCCGGTTGATTGTGACGGCGGCCGGCGGATTGTGGCGGTTACCATTCAATTGTGACGGTTACCGGCATGTTTTGACAATTAACGGCGGACTGTGACGGTTTCCGGCGTGACAGTTACCAACGATTTAATTGGTGATTGTTAGAGACTATGTGACGATTACGAGTAGTTACCACGGGTGTTTTGTGCAATTTACGTACACCGTCATTTTTTTTTAAATTAATTCATGCATGTCGTATTGTCATACATGATACATGCTATTAAGAAATATGAGGCTCTTAGGTTATGGGCATACACAATCATATCAGTTTAAGATATATGTAATCCTGGTGTGTATATGTATTGATATGGTATGTCATGCACATATAATAATAATAATAGTATGTTGATCGTATTTTTCTGCCCATCATTACTTTTCATCCGGTTACGTGGCGGCGGAATACTTTCTTAAATAATACGAAGTACATTTTTTAGCCACACTTTATTTATGGAAAATACATTGATAACATCTAATATCGGCCCAACGGAAGATATTAGATTAAAAATAAATCATTTTACCATTATTAGTAAAAATGGCTAAATAAAAAATAATAATTAAAAAAAAAACTTATTTTTTATGCTCTTGATTATTGGAACTAGAGCTTAATAAATGATTTTTGCATTATTATTCAATGAACCCAACGGTTAGTTGTTTGATGGTGTAATTAATCATTGTATATATTAGCCTAAATGCATGAACATTATGATTCTGCCCAAAGGTGATTTTAATGTTTGTGTGGCGTAGTTTAACTTGTTATGTGTCATTATGCATGATTGTTAGTGATAGCCAACGCGAAACTAAAAATCAAGCAAGACATTAGTATACCTATTATTTGGTGTTATTAATAGGTTTAATTATATGACATTTTAAATATCCCGATTAAATCCCTCTTATTTTTATATAGTTTCTTTTACACATATGTCTAACTCTTTATACTCCTTAGCATCCACTGTTACTACGAATTACGGAATTGAACCACTTACCGGCACTAACTTCACCTCATGGAAAGACAATGTTAAGCTCACCCTTGGAGTTATGGACCTCGACCATGCTTTGAGGTATGACCCCCCTGAACCTTTGACTGCTGAATCAACTCATGAGCAGAAAAGGTTTCATGAAATTTGGGAGAGATCAAACTGTATGTCACTAATGATAATCAAGAACTCCATTTCTGTGGCAATTCGCGGTGCTATCCCTGATTCGGATAACGCGAAGACATACATGGACTCGGTCGAGGAACAATTTAAGGGAACCTCCAAGGCTCACGCAAGTACATTGATCTTGAAGATGTTGACCACAAAATACAATGGTAATAGCGGTGTTCGTGAGCACATTATGATGATGAGTGATATGGAAAATAAGCTCAAAGGCATGGATATGGAGATAAGTGAGGGCTTTTTAGTCCACTTCATCATGACTTCTCTTCCCACACAGTTTGGCCCCTTTAAGATCAACTACAACACTCAAAAGGAAAAGTGGAAAATGAGTGAGTTGATAGCCATGTGTGTGCAAGAGGAGGAACGCCTGAAAGTTGAGAAGCCGGATGTTGCTTATGTCACCACTACTTCAAGCTCGTTCAAGAGGAAGGGTAAGTCTCAAGTTGGAGAGAGTTCAAAGGTTCCTAAGGCAAGTACAAGTGCAACGCCTGGATCAAATGGGGCTTTGAAACAACTTCGTTGCAAATTCTGTCATAAGAAAGGACATTACCAACGAGATTGCACTAAGTTCAAAGCATGGCTTGCAAAGAAAGGGATTCCATACAATCCAACAACTGCACCAAAGCCAAAGGACAATTAAAGTGGGGAATGGGGAAGACTTAAATGTTGAAGCTGTAGGATCACTTTCATTAATGTTAGAAAGTGGTCATAGTTTAAGTCTTAAAAACATTCTTTATGTTCCTAATATTACTAGAAACTTAATATCTGTATCAAAGTTAGCATATGATGGCTACACTTTTATGTTTGGATACAATAATGTTGTTATAAGTTTCAATAATAATGTTGTTGGCTATGGTTGTATGGATGGTTATCTTTATAAATTGTCTCTTGATAATCATTTTATGGAGTCCTTACTATCCTGCAATATTGATGAATGTGTGAGCAAAAGGAAACGAGAAGGGGAAACTTCGTCTAAATTATGGCATCAACGCTGAGGCCACATTTCTCGAGATAGGATGGTGCGTCTCATAAAATATGGAGTCTTACCACCTTTAGACTTCTCAGATTTCAATACATGCATTAAATGCATAAAAGGAAAATTGGCAAAAGGGAATAAGAAAGGGTCCACACGTAGCTCAAAGTTGTTGGAAATAATACATACTGATATTTGTGGATCTTTTCCCGAAGGCATTGGCGGACATAGATCATTTATTACCTTTATTGATGATTACTCGCGATATATGTACTTGTACTTGGTTAAGGAGAAATCCGAGTCACTTGATATGTTTAAGACTTTTAAGGCCGAAGTTGAAAATCAACTTGACCGTAAGATAAAAGTTGTGAGATCGGATAGAGGCGGTGAGTACTATGGTAGACACACCGATATTGGTCAATCTCCTGGTCCTTTCTATGAATTTTGTAGAGAACATGAGATAGTTAACCAATACACTATGCCAGGTACTCCTCAACAGAACGGCGTTGCCGAGAGGAGAAATAGAACTCTTATGGACATGGTGCGGAGTATGATGGCTAACTCCAAATTGCCTCAATACTTATGGACAGAAGCATTAAAAACGGCAGTTCATATCTTGAATAGGGTTCCTTCAAAATCTGTCTCTAAAACTCCTTATGAATTATGGACAGGAAGAAAACCAAGTTTACGTTATCTCAAGGTATGGGGATGTCCAGCTGAAGCTAAACTCTATAATCCCCAACAAAGAAAACTTGACATGAAAACCGTCAGTTGTTCTTTTATTGGATATCCTGAACGTTCAAAGGGATACCGATTTTATTGCCCTTCACATAGCACACGCATTGTTGAGACAAGACATGCTGAGTTCCTAGAGAACTCTAACATGAGTGGGAGTTCTTCACCTAATGTTGTTGATCTCCAAGAGATGGGAGAGGAGAGTACGACGGTTATACCGATCCCTATTATGCCTAATGCATCTCTTGAGGATGATATTGCCTCAAACGTACCACATAATGAAGGCACATCAAATTTTGAGGCAAATGACAACATAAATCAAGGCAATTCAATTCCGGAGATTCAAGTAGAATCTCATGAGCCTGAACCGCCAATAAGGAGATCTAATAGATCTAGACGCCCTACAAATTTTGATGATTACGTCATATACCTTAATGAGGTCGTTAATGACTTGGGAAAATGTAATGATCCCATGACGTATAATGAAGCTATTATGAGCACCCAATCATCTCTTTGGAATGAAGCTATGATTGATGAGCTTGATTCCATGAGCAAAAACAATGTGTGGGAACTTGCTGAATTACCTAAGGGTGCCAAACCCGTAGGATGCAAGTGGGTTTTCAAAACCAAACTTGACCCGAAAGGAAACATTGAACGTTATAAAGCGAGGTTGGTTGCGAAGGGTTATACCCAAAAGGAAGGAATTGACTATCAAGAAACTTTCTCACCGGTTTCGAGAAAGGATTCCTTGCGGATTGTCATGGCCTTAGTAGCTCATTTTGATTTAGAACTACATCAAATGGACGTCAAAACGGCATTTCTTAATGGAGACTTACATGAGGATGTGTACATGTCCCAACCAGAAGGTTTCAAGTCTAAGGGACAAGAACACCTAGTTTGTAAACTTAAGAAATCAATTTATGGGCTCAAACAAGCATCACGTCAGTGGTACTTGAAGTTTGATGAAGTCATCAAGAAAAATGGCTTCATAAAGAATCAAGTGGATCAATGTATATATCTGAGAATGAGTGGGAGCAAGTTTGCCATTCTAGTACTTTACGTTGATGATATTTTGTTGGCAAGTAACAACTTAGATATGTTGCATGAGTCAAAGCGGTTACTTTCAAGTAATTTTGACATGAAGGATCTTGGGGAAGCCTCCTACGTAATAGGCATAGAAATCCACCGAGATCGCGTCAATGGGACTTTAGGGTTGTCTCAAAAGGCGTACATTGAACGTGTTCTTGCACGTTTCAATATGCAACATTGTTCCCCATCAATTGCTCCAGTAGTTAAGGGAGATGTTTTTGGTTTATTTCAATGTCCAAAAACTGAAGAAGAAAAGGAGCAAATGAGACTAGTTCCCTATGCATCAGTAGTAGGGTGTTTGATGTATGCTCAAGTTTGTACTCGCCCTGATATCGCTTATATATCGGGCATGCTAGGCAGGTATCAATCTAACCCTGGCCTAGATCATTGGAAAGCCGCTAAGAAAGTCTTAAGATATCTTCAAGGGACAAAAGATTACAAACTTGTTTATAAAAGAACTAATGCTTTGGAAGTTGTGGGATTTTCCGATTCTGACTTTGCTAAATGCAAAGACGATAAGAAATCGACATCGGGATATGTTTTTATGATGTCAGGTGGGCCGATATCATGGAGGAGTCATAAGCAAGATTGACTACCACCTCAACTATGATGGCGGAATATGTTGCAGTTTACAATGCAACATGTCACGGAATGCTATTGAGGAATCTAATTAAAGGACTCAAGGTAGTAAACTCCATTTCGAGACCACTGAAGATTTATTGTGATAATTCTGCAGCCGTGAGTTTTTCAAATGGAAATAGTTCGAGCGGGGCTGGATTATATCTCGATACAAAGTTCCTATTTGTACGTGAACGAGTGGAAGAAAATAATCTTTGTATCGAGTACATTAGCACTCATGATATGCTTGCGGATCCGATGACAAAAGGTCTACCACCCAAGATTTTTCAAGAACATGTGATGAAAATGGGTTTTAGTCGAGACCTCACTTAATTGGCATAGTGCTCTTATGAACAATTCATGTATATAAATATAAATAAATACTTGAATACTTAAGTAATTGTCTATTAAATATGTATACCGTGCGCACTAATTTTGGTATCATAGACAAATTAATATTAATTACCACATTACATTTGATCATTTATGTTTAATGACCTTAAAGTCCTAATACATGTGCTATAATATGATTAGTGGGGGTCCCATATCTATATAGATGTGTGTGGCTGTACTTCTCTATTATAGTATAGATATTGGGTATGTAGAACACATGTTTGGCCAACTTGATGATTATTGGTCACTAGGCCAAGTGGGAGAATGTTGGATTATTTCCAATTAATATGGCCTTAGGACCAATAATAATGTGTCCTATATTTATGTAATATATATATATAATTATGTATTATATATATGTATTATTTGATGGAAATAATACTTAAAGGGTACCATTGTGGTAACACCCTTTAGGACAATATGAAGAGTTGTGACTATTGACTTATTCCCATTATAAATATTCTTTGCTCTCCTTTGTTGAAACACACGTACAAACACAACAACACCATAAAGTGGAGAGAGCATCACAACTTCTAAAAGTACTCCATCTATCATTGTCCTAAAAGGGATTACCAATTCATTTGCTACAAGTAAAACAATGACTTCTTCATCAACCAATCATGGTCTAGCAAAGATTGGCTTCCCATCATGTAAGTATTTATTTACGAACTTGTATATGATATAGTTTCTAACATGTAGTGTGATGTGTAGATCTTGGATCTAATATATTAAAATAATCAACAATATATACTTCCTCAGTTAAATTACCATGAAGAAAGACATTTTTAACATCAAGTTGGCGAATGGGCCAACCAAAAGACACAGCTAAGGTAAGAACAAGACGAACAATGGTGGGTTTAACAACAGGACTAAATGTTTCAGTAAAGTCAATACCTGCCTGCTGATTAAACCCCTGAGCAACTAACCTTGCTTTGTAGCGTTCCACAGACCCATCAGCCAGATACTTAGTCTTATAAATCCATTTTGACCCAACCACATTCTTTTTAGCATCAAATGGTACTAAATCCCATGTATGATTAGAGATGAGGGCATTAAATTCCTCAGCCATAGCAGCTCTCCACTTAAGATGTTTATTTGCTATAGAAAAACAAGTGGGATCCGGTGTGCTAACAACTGTGTTTAAAGTAAAAATAGTTTTTGGTTTAAAAATACCGGATTTAGACCGGGTTTGCATTGAATGAACATTACCAACCGAGGCAGTGGATGTGGGAGACGCGGTCTGTGAGCTGCTGTCAGCTAGGGAGATGGATGGTGCTGGGATTTCAGCCATGGGAAGGCAGCAGGTTTGGGTAGATGGGTCGGCCAGGGGGCTGGAATGGCAGCAGGGTTGTGCGTGAGTGTGTGAGGTATGGCTGCGGACAGATGGAGGAGAACTGGGCTGGGGAAGTGTTGCGGTTGGAGGGCTGCTGTCTGGCGTGGAAATAGGTGGTGTCAGGACAGATGGAGTGTGATCTGGCTGGGGTTTTTGGGTAGAAGGAAATGGCAGCAGGTTTGGGGACAAAACCGCAGCAGGACTAAGGGAATTAGAAGTTGCAGCAGCCGGTGAATTAGAATTAGCAGTGGTTCGTGTGGGAACTAAGGTAACGGTGGAAGGCAACATACTAGACGAAGACAGTGTAGCACCCATTAACTTAGAATATGGAAAAACATTTTCTAGAAATCTGACATTTCTACTAATATAAACCCGACCAGAAATAGGATCAAAATAACGATACCCTTTATATTCAGATGCATATCCGAGAAAAACACACTGAACAGACCGTGGTGAAAGTTTATTTGCTGAGGTGGCATTAAAATTGGGAAAGCAAGCACAACCAAAAACACGCATGCCAGATAAATCCGGTGCAGAGTGAAATAATTTTTCATACGGAGACAAACCATGTAGAGTAGGAGAGCGTAACCGATTTATAATAAAAGTGGCAGTAAGAACAGCATCAACCCAAAACTGAGCGGGCGAATTGGCGGTGATGAGCATGGTACGCACAAGTTCTATTAAATGACGATGTTTGCGCTCAGCAACACCATTTTGCTGCGGAGTTTCAGGACAAGA